CTGTCCCTGTCCCATTCTGGCTGTCCCAGCCCCATTCCAGATGTCCCAGTAATGTCCCTGTCTGTACCCATTGTCCCTTCCCTGTCCCAGCACTGTCCCTGTCCCAGCACTGTCCCAGCCCCATCCCAGCTGTCCCAGCCTCATCCCAGCTGTCCCAGCACTGTCCCTCCCTGTCCCCACTGTCCCTGTCCCATCCTGGCTGTCCCAGCCCCATTCTAGATGTCCCAGCACTGTCCCTGTCTGTACCCATTGTCCCTTCCCTGTCCCAGCACTGTCCCTTCCCTGTCCCCACTGTCCCAGCCCCATCCCAGCTGTCCCAGCCCCATTCTGGCTGTCCCCACTGTCCCTCCCCGTTCCCTAGCCCCAAGGAACGCACTTGTAGGCGAGCGTGGCGCTGAAGTGCTGGCGGATGTAGGCCTCCAGGACCGTGTTGAAGTGCTGGAACTTTCTGTCAGCCACCAACCTCACAATGAAAACCTGAGGGCAGCAGGCAGGGACGCAGCTCAGCCACCCTGAGCCCACCCTGCCCCGCTCCCATCACCGGGATCACTCTTGTGGTGGTGTGGGAAAAACCCTTTGAACAATGCTGGGATCGTCCCCCAGAGGGGCAGCGTCCCCCAGAACCCAGCCCTGCCCTGTGCTGGCTCCCTCAGACCAGCAAACCCCATTGCCCCAGTCCAACCAGTGCCCACCCTGCACTGGGTGGGGGGCTCAGACCCACACAGGCTCTGCTCACCAGGGCGTCAAACACGAGGGTGTCATAGACGTCGGTGTCCGAGTGCTCCATCATGATGGAGAAGAGGGCATCCAGCGTGTCCTGCAGGAACTGGGGGCACATGGGGGCTGTGAGGGCTCGAGGGCTGACCCCAGCACGGCCCACGACCCAGCTTCTGGGCACGGGGAACAAGGAGAGAGGTGGGTGTTGGGAAGGATGGATAAATAGAATCGCCTGGCAAAAGATTTATGATAGTACAGCCAGGATGAAAACAATCCTCCCTACTGGCTGGACAATACCCTTACCTACAGATAAGTCCAAAAGTCAAATGGAGTGTTCTATCTCATCCCCAAAATGTATGGTTCATCCCACACCTGCAACCATCCCCTGAAACATCAGGTGTCTGTGACCCCATTGGCCCAAGTCTTGTTCCAGCCCACCTTGAAGCCCCCTGATAAGGGGTAGACATTCTCTTGGAACTTCTCCTCTCTTGGATCTTCCCCCTCTTAGGACCTCCACCCTCTCCTAGAACATCCTCTTGTCTCTCCCCTCCTCCATCTTCTCAAGCCTCACCACGAGCTGCATCTGGCAGCTCCAAGCAGGACTTTTCTCCATCCCTAATAAACCTGATATTCTAATAGCAGCTTTCAGAGATCTCTCATCTCCATCCATCCAAACCATCCTGGAGCCCAGCGCTCCCTGCAGGTGGAGGAGCAAATCCTGGCTGTACCTTGATGACCTCCCCTCCATCCACGTTCATCAGCTTCTGGAGGTTGCCACGGAGCAGGCTGGGCTTGGAGCGCCACTTCAGCAGCCCCAGCAGGTTCACTGGGCAGGAGGAACGGGGCGCTCAGCACTGAGCATTCGTGTCAGAGTGTCACCAAGCCCCAGCTCCCCCAGGCCACCCTCGCTGCCCAGGAGTGTTAGGGGTCAGAAACATAATCATGGGATGTGATTATCTGCAGGAGCTTTTATTAACAGCTCTGGGAATCAGGGGTACAGACCCAAATCTGACTTCAACACGGCTTTCAAGCTGAACGTATTTTATATTCTATCATTATATAACTCCCATATTCATTATTAAACTTTTATTGTATACATTGACATGAGTTTCTCGTGATCTTTCTTAGGCCCCTGACCACAGTTTCTCATGGCTATTCTTATGATAAAACAGCAATTATATTTAATTACTAAACAATCATCACATCTAACAATTCTATCCATTATCATGTACTAGCTACACAGTGCAGCTCTAGCAAGTACGAGTTCTCCATGTGCTTAGGGTGTTTATTTTTCCAGGGCTTACTAAGCTGATTTTTCCTTTTAACCCTTCATCCCCATGATTTTGAAACCCTTTTACTATCATGAGCAGCCAGAACCCCCTCACACAGTGTTCAGCCCCCCCGATGCCAGGACCATACAGCACAAACTTTAAATTTGTCGTGGCTGTGGCGGCCGAAACTGGGCTGCAGCGAGGGAATTCATGGAGCAGCCTCATCCCTGAGCCCTCCACACCAAACCACGGTGGCCTGGACCCTGTGTCCACTGTGTCACCGTGTGTCACATCCCCACAGCACCAGACCATGTCCCCCGAGCCCCCTGCACTTCAACCAGAGCAGGATGAGCCATTCCCACCTTCCAGCCTCACAGCAGTGGGAGGAGAGCCCAGCATTCCCCTTCCCCTGGCAAGGGGGGATGTGTCAGGGCCGAGGGGGCACCAATGCCCTCAGCAGCCCTGACCTGGGCTGGAAACTGCCCTGAGCTAAGCCAGGGATGGGGGTTAAACCACAGAGCCCCAATTCCCACCTCAGTTTGGAAGGGAGGTCACAGAACCTCCGGCAGCCACACTCGAGTGGGAATTCCACTCGCTGCTGCTCCTCTCCAGTGGATGGCAGCCCTCCCAAAATGCCCACATGGAGCTGATGTCCCCCAGGAACAGCCTTGGCCAAAGAGTGACTGAGCACTCGCTGCTCCCACTGCCCTCAGCTCTCTGTCCCAGTGGGAGGGACACCGGACTCCAAATATCACAATGTGGTCCAGCAGGGAGGGGACGCAGCCCCACCTCCCCCGGCGTGGGGAACCAGGACTCACCATTCTGGGTCAGCTTGGTGGAGCAGATGAGTGTGGAGATTTGGAAGCTGTCCCGGCTGGACACGGCTAAAGGCGCCGTGGCCCCGCTGACACGGAAGGAGGAGCCAGAGAGGAGCTTGGATTCCGACAGGTTCCTCTCCGAGGGCAGGGACAGGTAGGTGCTGGCATCCTCCAGCTTCTTGCTGTCACCCTGCAGGGCACACGGCGGGGAGGTCACACCCCACGGTGACAGGGTTAGCCCCCCTGTGTGCCCAGGAGCTCAGTTCTGAGCCCATGGCTGGTGGGTGCCACCACGCAGCACCCTCATCCCACCCCTGGGTACCCCCTGGCTCCCCAACATTGATCCCTGAGGGAGCCACCAAAGCCCAGCCCGTGTCCCACAATGGGGACAGGACAGGCAGGAGGAGCAGAGGGACCAGGAGGAGTCTGAGGCTGGAAATTCAACACTGCTGCAGGGATGGACATGCAGCAGGACACCAACACGGGGCAGGACACCACCCAAGTGTGCAGGATGGACCCACGTCGCTGTCACCCTGCATCTCCCACCTCTATGGGCAGCCTGTTGCCGTGTTCCCTGCTGTAAGCTGGAAATGTTCCATGCAGGAGGGCTCACTGGGGTGACTCTGAGTGTCTTTCCCTGCTCGTTGGCCAGCCTGGGATGTGAGCAGAGCCAGGCAGCCAGGCTGCAGCTCACAGACATCCATCCTTCCCTGCCTGCAGCCTGGCAGGGTGAAGGTGAAGGTGCTGAAGGTGGGACGGAGGTGACAGAGCTGTTTTGCTGTTGTATTTTCCCTTCCAGGACACATCTGGAGCCTGTGCTCCTTCCCAGGGCTGAGCCCACGTGGGGAAAACTGTCTGGAGCTCAGAGCAGCTGGAGATCAAGAGGTCTGAGCAGCTAAAAGCCCTTCACTCACATTCCTCTGGCAAGCAGAGACAAAAAGATGAAATAGCTTCTGACTGCCAGAGTCCAGCCCCCGCTGTCTGCCGGGAAGAGCCGGAGTCAGGCAGGGAGAGGATGGAGCAGCTCAGGACGTGGAGGCTCACGAGGGCAGGGACAGCTCTCCGAGGGGAGCACGGACCCAAAAGAGAGGTTTGGGGGGTTTGTTCTCCTAGCAGAGAAGTGTGGGAGGTTTGATCTCCCTGCCAAAGCCAGCACTGGCATATCCCAAAGGTGCTGCTGCTGTGGAGGGGACAGTCCCCAAAGAGGCAGGGACCGCAGCCAGCGCCGAGGGCCATGGCAGCAGTTAAAGAATTTGGGTCTTTTACCCAAAAATAAAGCGGGGTGGAGGGACTTAATAATGATTTCAAATGTGCAGGAGCCTCAGGGAGGAACAGCGTGGTCTGCCCCTGTCTTGGGCTGCCACGGCAGGCAGGAGCAGGTCGGCTCATCCCAAAAAAAAGGCAGATTCAGGGAGGGACGTGGCTCTGCCTGGAGAAACTGGGGTCACGTTGCCAAAATCAGAGACACTCCCATGCAGCAGCCCAGGGGTAGGGGAGCAGGTGACCCCTCCAGGGACACTGGAGCTCCATGACCCCAGAAGGGACCCCAAAAAGTGTCAACACACACAGGGAAGAGCCCAGAGCTCACCCTGGCAGCGGGGACCAACTCGTGCCTCCACAGCGATCCCAGTCTGGGGAGGCGACACCAGGTAAGGGGGCAGCACCTTCAGGGGACCTTCAAATTAAAGCTGACAGCATTTTTTTTCCCAAATAAGCAGCGATATTGCCTCCCCTCCACTCTCTGGGAGCAAACCCAAGCAGTGCCAGGGCTGGTGAAATCAGGTGAAGCGCAGCCACGCCACGGGGACGTTCCCTGCCCGTCACGAACGCTTAAATCACCTCCTCCCAAACAAAACTTGTCATTCCAAAGGAGCAGCGCGGGGCTTGGAGACGCTGTGTGCAGGCAGCCCCTGCCACCAAGGACAGCGAGGACAGCAGGGAGGCACCACAAACCCTCAGGGACTTCGGGTACGTGCCACCAGCATGGACTGGGACCCCGGCCCCACAAGTGCTGCTGTCCCACAGCCCTCCCAACCTATTTTAGGGGGGCTCCGTGGCTCCCCCCCCATACCTTGTAGAGCAGGAGGTCGTGCTCCCCATCCCGCAGCGTGGTGCCATCGGGGCGCATCAGCCTCACAAAGGCCATGGAGAAAATCCTCTCGCTGCGGTCCTTGGCTGGGGGGACACACGGGGGGGAGGTGAGGGGGAGCTGCAGGGGACAAGGGACACGTCTGCAGGCAGGGACAGGACAGGGAGGAAGGCCTGGAGCAAGGGACACTCACAGTCACTGGAGGAGCGGTGGCGGAAGGTGAACCTCAGGTGGGTCCTGTGCACGTCCTCGATGGGAACAGCAATCTGGGGTGGGAACGTGTGCCAGGGTGAGGGCAGGGGGTGGGGGATGAGCCCTCACCTGGGCAATGCCCCTGTGTGCCCAGGCAGGGGTTGTGCCAGGCTGTCACTGCTGTAAACCAACCCCACAGCCTTCCCAGGCCACCAGTGAGGCTGAACTGGGGGCACTGGGATGGGGACAGGGCTGCAGTGCCCATCCCCAGGACTACCCTCCCCAGAGCTGGGTGTCCATGCTGTGACCCCGGCAGCACCTCCATCATCCCTGATGTTGGAACTCAAAATGGCTCTCAGACATTTTTAGAGGTTCCAGGCCTTGGTCAGGAGCATTTGAGACCCTGGCAGGCAGCTGGAAACAGCTGTGATTTTGAGTTTGAGCCATGGGATGAGTTACCAACTTTGGAGGTGGAACAGTCACAAAGGGTTTGGTAGTATAGTAGAAGTAGTTACAAAGCAGAGGGGAATTTTTTTTAGTATTGTACAGGGGGGTTTAACACTTGTACAGGGGGTTTTTATTTTGTACATAGGGGTCAGAAGTTCTAAGATGGAGGAAAGTGGGCTGATCCTGTTCTTCCTCCTTCTTCTTCCTTGCCTCCATGTTCTTGGTGATGTTGGCACTTATGGATTGATTTAGAGTAGAAAAGCACTTTGTAATATAGGTAGTAGGGAAAATTGTAAGCATATAATACATAATATATCATATAAAAGATAGCAGCAGCCCTGGGCAGTGGGAGAGAAAAAGACACAGTCAGAGAGGATGTCAGGGTGTGTGTGTGCCTCTGCCTGAGCTCTGAGCAAACCACAGCAGCCCGAGAAGAAAATCTTTTAGATAACTCACAATAAACTGCCTTGAGACCGAACAACAAGAGCCTGCTGAGTTTTCTTTGGAAGCACGGATGGAGGAGAGACCCCAGAGCAAACCCGGGGTTCTCACCCCCTGAGATGGGACCAAGGACTTCTCCCCAAAAAAGGGACCCCCCTAGAGCAGCAGGAGGAGTGAGGGGCACAGCCTGGGGGGGGCTGCAGCCCTGTCCCACCCCAGCCCCCGTGCCCGGGGCTCCCCAGACCTTCAGGGTCTCCATCCAGCGTTGGTGCCTCTGCTGGTAGTAGACAACGGAGCGGTGGTGGCTGCTGGGGCTGTCCCCTGCTCCCGCGTGGATCGCGTTCTGCCGGGAGGAGAACCTCGGGATGAGCCCAAATCACCTCCCAGGGAGGGACAATTCCCCCCGGCCACGCCCCAAACTCCCCTCTGTCACCCTGATTCTTAAGATTTTTTAAAGCCTTCTCATTTTCTATAAGCAACATTTTGTTTTGCATCCCTTCGGGGGGGTGGAGGAAATTCATGTATTAGTAATTTGTCCAATTTAGAAAGGTAACCCGTTCACTCTCCAATCCACTGCCGCCTTTTAAAAAATATAAAAGTTAAAGTCAAAAAAAGAAACGTTCTTCTTTTTTACCTTGCCAAGAGGCTCCTCCAGCCCGTTTTGGTACTGGAGCTGCTGGCACTACCCGAGGAGAGGTGACACAGGGGACACCAGCCATAACTTAGGTGAGGTGACATGGGGGACACCTGCCATACCCGAGGTGACACAGGGGACACCTGCCATAACTTAGGTGAGGTGACACAGGGGACACCAAGGTGAGGTGACACGGGGGACACCTGCCATTCCCAAGGTGAGGTGACATGGGGGACACCAAGGTGAGGTGACAGAGGTGACACCAGCCATACCTGCAGCACATTTCCTGCCTCGTCACAGACACACACGGTCACCTCCACGTTCTTCGGCGTCTTCTTGTTGCCCTTGTCGAACTCACCCTGCACCAGGGTCAGGTAGATGTCGTTCCTGACGTCACCTGGAGGGGACAGCCAGGTGATCACACCGGGTCCTGCCACCACGCTGCCATCCCCAGGGTCCCCCCGGGTTTGTCCCCCCACCCCAACACTTGCCTGGCATAATGACCTCGGGGTAGCCCAGCTTGCGAGCCACTGCCGTGCTGCGATCCACCAGGTGCGGGTGGTCCTTCCTCACCTGGCTCAGGTCTCCCCACAGCATCTTCAGGGACACCCAGAGCCCTGCGGGGACCACCGTGACAGGAGCCACCAGGGGCCACAGCAAGTCCTCGACCCCTGGTGTGACAAGCAGATGGAATCTCATGGGCCCAGGGGACACAGGGTCACTACCTTGTCCCTTGTGGTTGATGTCCTTCCCCTCCACCGCCTTCCGGATCATGTTGTGAAGGAAATCGCCATCAGCAGCCACCCTGGAAATGCCACATTTAGGAGAAAAAAACCTTTTCTCTTTGGTCCTTGTCCCTCTTGTCCCCTGGCAGCTGGTGTCCCCATGCCAGCCGGGCCCTGGGGTGCTGCTCCCTGTCCCCCCAGCACTCCCCCCACCCTCGGGGCTCACAGGTGGACGGGGATGAAGTGCTGCTTGTCCTCGTCGCTGTCACACGTCCCCTTGGTGATGTCGCTGATGTCCATCACTGCAGTGACACAGACGTGGCACCGTGGCAGGGGTGGCACTCCCAGCCAGCGATCCACGCCCAGAACAGGATCGTGGGGGGAGGCGAAGGCAGGGGTCCCCTGTGCCAGGACGGGGTGGGCAGGGACAGCACAGAGGGGACAGTGTGGGGACAGCCACGCAGAGAGCAAGGAAAAGGGACAGCAGGGGCAGCCCGGGGACACAGCAGAGCCTGGTGTGGTGGCTGGGGGCAGTGCCAGGGTGGTGGCACGGGAGTCCCCGGGGGTCTCCGTGGAGGCCAGCCCCACCTGAGATGCCGAAGGGCCGGCGCAGCCCCGTGCTGAGCTTGCGGCTGTGGCTGTCCCGCAGGTCCATGCGCCCCACCCGGATGATCTGGCACACCAGGAACAGCCGCTCCCGCTTCAGGTCGCTGCTGCCCAGGTCCTGGGGGACAGACAGGGGCCGTGTCACCCCGGCAGCACTTCAGGGGACATGCCAGCGCCAGCGCTGGGTGATCTCGGCGTGCCCGGGGTGGGCACAGAGCTCCCCCGCTGCCCCGCACTGCGGGGACAGTGGCACGCAGCCCCGCTGCCCTGGGGGACTCTGTGCACCCCAGGAGTCCCCAAACCCCACGGTGGGGACAATGCCAGGACCCACGGGCCCGACAGGTCACCCTAGAGCAGGCAGCTGGGCAAGCGGGGGGCAACCTGGCATGGTGTAAGGATGTCAGGGTGGCCCTGTACCCCAGCTCCGGCGACACTGGGGAGGGGATCGGGTCCCTCGGGTGCTGCCCCTGCGCCAAAACCTTCCAGCGGCGCTAAGGACAAGGGATGGGGACACTCCACAACGCGTAGGGACACGCGGGGACATCAGCAGCGAGCAGAGCAGAGTGGGGAGATGGGCGAGAGCCGGAGGGCGGCAGCGGAGCCGAAGTGCTGATGCCGCTCATTAACATTGATATTTTTTCTCGCCTCATTTGCATATCACTGGCTCCGCAGCGTCCCGGGGGTCAGCGATGCGCTGCAGCCAAAGCGCTGAGTCAGCAGCAGCTGCCGAGGGGCGTGGGACGAGCGGGAACGGGGCACCCCGAGACCCCCGGCACCGGGAGGGCACCCCGAGACCCCCGGCACCGGGAGGACACGAGACCCCCAGCACCGGGAGGGCACAACGAGAGCCCCGGCACTGGGAGGAGACCCCGAGACCCCCGGTACCGGGAGGGCACCCCGAGACCCCCAGCACCGGGAGGGCACAACGAGACCCCCAGCACCGGGAGGACACCCCGAGACCCCCCAGCACCGGGAGGGGACCCCGAGGGGCAGCGCCGCGGCGGGTGCCACGTCCGGGATCTGCGAAGGGGATGGGGGTACACGAGCAGGGGAACCAGTGCGGGACGAGGGGGGGGACACGGGGCACCCGAAATGTTCTGCGCTCACCGTGAACACGACCTTGAGGTTGTTGAGCAGCTCGATGTCCTGGGGGACGCCGGTGCTGGCCCAGCGGATCACGTAATTCTCGCTGCGGGGCGGGTGATGCTTGAGGTGGGCACCGGGGTGGCAGAGCCCCCGCCGGCTCCCACCCCACGGACCCCGCAGCCCACCGGTGTCCCCTGTCACCGCGCTGGTGACTTCACCTGGGGCAGGACGAGCCGTGGGCTGTCCCATGGGGTGACCAAGCCTCCTGCTCTGTGGGAAGGGACATGCACCCTCCCCCTGGGACACCCGCTGGGTCCTTCTGGGCTGGGGAACGGCCACAGGGGACAGCAGGACAAGCATCCAGCAGAGCAGGGGTCTGTCCTGAGCCCCCCGGGACCCCACCTGATGATGCGCTGCTCGCCGGGGTCGTAGAGGGCCATGAAGAGCTGCGCCTCCTCGCCGACGTGGCACACGAAGTTCCGGACGCAGAGGTAGAGGTTGTGGGAGGGCGAAGGAGCCCCGTGGGTGCCACGGCCGGCTGCCCTCTGCTGCGAGCTCTGGGGGGGGGCACGAGGTGGCTCAGCCCCATGGCTCAGCCCCTGGCACGTCCCCTGGCACAGGGCGCAGGGCTGGCAGCGGCCTCACCGTCTCCTCCTGGATGCGCTGGGTGAGGGTCTGCGCCGCTCTCCTGTGAGCCTGGAAGAGGCTGATGACGCTGGTCCTGTCGGGGTCCAGGATGTTCTCGTCCTCATCGCGCACCACCAGGTCCAGCGCGAGGATCCTGCAGGGGCCGGCAAGGGGTGAGGCAGGAGTGGGGGCCCACGGGCCTGTGTGTCCACCCAGGACTCACTTGGCCTTGCACCTCCTGTCCCCTCAGATGCCACCGGGAAAGGGGACAGGAGTTGGCAACGCCAGGAACATTCTTGGCCCAGCCATAACCCTCGGGCGGGTGGCTTGAGCAGCTGGTGGCACCTTACTGTCCCCAGCTGTGGGAATGCAGAGCTTCCCTCTGGCTGCCCTGGGACCCTGGCAGGGGTCAGGAACCCCCCTGGACAGAGCCCCCAGAGACACTGGCTGTGATCTCTGGCCATGGAAAAGAGTTTGCAATCTTACAGGATCAATTACCAGCTCTGAGTGTTTGATATAAATAATAATTAAGTGTGGCACGGGTGCAAAAGTAAAATTTTAGGATTCTAGATGAGGGGTCCAAAGGGGACAAGATGGAGGAAATTGGGTGTGCCTTGTCCTTTTTCTCCTTCTTCATGCCCTCCATGTTTCACTGTGGTGTTGGCATTTTTCTGTTGGTTCAGGCTGGGGACACGCTGTCCAACGTAGGTGACAGATATTGGCACGTTCTTGTAAATTCAGCCCAGGGAGTTTCTGGTATTTAATGTTTGTCACATCCCACTGAGGGCAGAGCCCCACACGCTGCCCTGCAGGACAGAGCTGGGCAGGGCAGCAGAACATGTTAGAGATAAACAGAATAAACAACCTGGAAACCAGCACAGACCAATTCTGGCTTCTGCTTTGGCAGCGGGGCTGACAGACAGAGACTTTCTACAACCTCAGAATCATCAATACCATGGATTCCCACACCCAGCCACCACGGGCCAGCCAGCTGGGATGCTGGGCACACCTGGGCACCGCAGAGCCTGTGCCAGAGGCAGATTTGAGGTCACGGTGCCCCGTGCCCGCTCTCACTTGTTGCCGTAGTCCATCCTGCCCGTCACCTCCTTCCTGAGCCGCAGGAGCTGGTCCTTGGGCAGCGTCCCCGAGAGCAGCTGCGAGCGCTGCTCCATCAGCTCCTGCATCATCCTCTTCACCTGCCCGTAGCGCTCCGTCTGCCCGGCCTGCAGCAGCAGCAGGGGTCACCGGGGGTCCCCCCAAAACCGCTCCCAGATCCCCCCACCCCGACGCCCAGACCCTCACCACGTAGAGCTGCTTCCAGATGGCGGCCCACTCCCGCAGCGTGGTGGTGATCTCCTGCACCATGGGCATCTCGGAGGGCACCACGCTCTCCTCCACCCTGGGGGGAAGGCACGGGGAGCCCTGGAGCGCCCCAGAAGCGCGGGGACCCCCGCACGGGGCAGGAGCCCACCCCCCCCGCCCCTCCCCTGTACCTACCCCCGCTGCTGCTCCACCACGGCGCCCTTCAGCCGGATCAGCGAGGCCGGGAAGATGCCCTGAAGGAGCCGGAGCCATCAGCACCCCCGGGCTGGGAGATTTCCCTCGGGGGGGGGCACAGCTGGGGGGTCCCAAAGTTATGAACAAAACAGCCTGGCTGGGACACTTGGCTCGAACTAAGTACTGACAGTGAAATGTTAATTATCTAATTGCTCCTGGGAATCACCTACCACCACCCAAACTAGGGCTGGGATGCAAAATAATCCAGTGGAATCATGGGAGGGGGTTTTGGGGATGAAAAACACCCCAAAATGAAGAAGAGAGGCACAGTGGAGGGGGCGGGATGGGTGTGCAGGTTGGGGAAAAGGGAATCTCATCCCTAGTCTGTGTTTGACCTGTCACCATAACCTGCAGAGGACCCGATTGGACTGTGGGAAGCAGGCACAAGGAAAACACACACTCTTCCTGGTGTTACCAGGAGGGAAAGTTAAGGAGAGCTGCTGCTGGACCTCGGCAACATCCCCCCCGCCCTTCGGCTACCAATGTGCCAGGAGAAAAGGAGAGAGGATGGTCTGGAATCGGGATTTCAGATACAGACTGGACACCTCTGCACCTCTGGCTACCAGTGTGCCACGGAGACTCCAGGGACAGACCCTACACAGAGACCCCAGGGACAGACCCTGCACGGACACTCCAGGGACAGACCCTGCACAGACCCCAGGGACAGATTCTGCACGGAGACCCCAGGGACAGACCCTGCACAGACCCCAGGGACAGACCCTGCACGGACACTCCAGGGACAGACCCTGCACAGACCCCAGGGACAGACCCTTTGCCCACCCCCCCAGACGCCCAGCAGGGACAGAATGCCACCAGCAGTGCCCCTGCTGCCCCCAAAAGCCCGGCACCCCCTCACCTACCCGGGCAGCCCTGTTCCGCAGCGAGTACCCGCAGTACCAGCCTGCGAGGGGAGGGGACATCGTCAGCCAGGCTGGGGGTCCTGGCCCCGTTTTGGGGACGAAGGAGGGTGCAGGACCCCACGTTGGGGTGCACCCAGGGGTGCCCTTACCCTCGGAGGCCTGCAGGATGTGCACCATCTCCCCGATCTGCAGTGGGAGGTGATGCTCCTGGGTGCGCGGGAAGTTCCACACGGCTGCGGGGAGAGGGGCTGGGATTTGGGATCCCTGCCTGGAGCCCCTCACCAGCCCCCGAGCCCTGGGCACCTGCACCCCAAAACCAGCCCCCCATGGGTGCCCCCTGTTCAGCCCTACAAAAAACGTGAGACCCCCGAGTAAGCTCACCCCACACCCCAGGAGAGCCACGGCACTGCCAGCACAGTGTCGGGCACAGCAGAAGCCCCCAGCCCCTTTTTGGCACCCAGGGGTCCCTTATGGGACCCCTCTGCCTGCCACCCACACCCTGGGTGCCAGTGGTCCTGCTCCTGGCACAAGCAGTGCGGGGAGGCAAGTGCCAGCTGAGCCCCTGCCCTGGGCTGGTGGCCCTGGGACAGGTCTGGTGGCCCAAGGACAGGGTCTGGTGGCCCAGGGACAGGGTCTGGTGGCCCAAGGACAGCGTCTGGTGGCCCAGGGACAGGTCTGGGGACAGCAGAGCTGGTGGGAGGGAAGGGGGGCGGTGCTCTTGGTGACCAGCAGCTTCCTGCCCGGCTGTGCTGTGGTTGTCCTTGTCGCTATTTCTGGCCCCAGGGACAGCTTTGGGGCAGACAAGCCTGGTTTGGTCCCCAGATTGGGGGACAGTCCCTGCACCCCGGGGGTCCCTGCCAGCACCATTCCTGTGCCCACCCTGAGCTCAGGAGGTGCCCAGGACCCTGCAGCAGCTCAGGGGGTGCCCAGCACCCTGCAGCAGCTCAGCCTTTGCTCCAGCACTGCAGAGAATGCAAGGGAAGGGTGCAGGAAACGGCCCCACAAGAAACGGGAAGAAGAACAGGGCTGCCAGAACCAGCAGAAACTGGGGGTGCTGCAGAGAGTGGGGGTGCCCAGGGGTGCTGCAGGGCACGGGGAGCTCAAGCTGGGGGTGCTGCAAGGAATGGGGGTGCCCAGGGCTTTGCCACCACCAACACCGAGGCTGCTGCAAAGCCCCAGCTGGGACTTGAGGAAAATTATTGGGGTGTCTCAAGGCTCCCCAAGAGCCTCAGCAGCCGGGCTGAGCCCAGCCCCAGAGCCTGGAGGGAAGCCAAGCCCCCACCCCAGAACTTCCCACCCCCACCAGCAGCAGCTCTGGAGCTTCCTGGTGCGTGGGTCCTGCTGGCACCCGGCCCCGTTCTCTGAGCCTTCTGTCAGCAGCCCTGCAGCCCCTGCTTGTTCCTGCCAGCACGGCAGGGACCTGCTCCCCTCCTGGCATCACCTCACAGTGGCACCATCACGGCGCCACTGCCATCACCCACCTGCCACCGCCGCGCCCACGGGGGTCCCGTGGATGTCACCTCAACCCTGCGCCCCTCCAGCCGAGTGGAAACCCCCCAGAGCCCCACAGCCCCCACTCACCCACGCCCAGCTTCTCCTTGGTGGGCAGCCAGGGCGCCATGGCCACCGGGGCCCACGGGTGGTTCCTCCTGCCACGCTGCCCGTGTGACGTGTAACCCCGGCTTGTGAAACCTCCGCTTCCTCAGCGCGCTCTGACGCGGGGGTCCCACCCCACCGTCCTGCCCCCGCCACGGGCAGCGTGCTGGGCATGGAGCCCCCGGGACCCCCATGCCACCCAGACAAAGCTCTGGCCTCAGGGATCACTGGCAAACAGTTGTGGTGGTCGCTGGGATGGGTCGTGGTGGCACGGGGACCCCTTTGAGTGGCCAAGAGTGGGACACGGAGCTCCCCACGGAGCCACGAGGAGCCGTGAGGCTCCTTGCTGGCACAAGGTTTCTGCCAGCGTGGCTGCCTCTGCCTTGCCCACATCTCCATCCCTGGCTGCACCAGGCCCGGCTGTGCCAGCGCTGGCTCCGTGCCCTGTCCAGCCCTCGGTTCCTGGAGCTCAGCACCAGCCACTTCCATCCTCCTGCTTGCCTGTCCGGCTCCACGGGGCTGGGGGCTCGGCCAGACCCTCACCCCCACCCGGCCACGCTGTCCCGGGACCCTCTGAGCACCCCAAATGCAGCTGCTGCCCCCACAGATTGGCACGAGTCCCTCTCCATCAGCGCTTGGAGCCAGCCCTCGGCTCCTCACCTGCATCCCCAAACCGCCCCCGCCACCTCAACCTGCTCTGGGGTCACCCCTGGGTGCAGCCCCCAGCCCCACGGGTCACCCCTGGGTGCAGCCCCCAGCCCCACGGGTCACCCCCGGTGCAGCCCCCCGCCCCACGGGTCACCCCTGGGTGCAGCCCCCCCGCCCCACGGGTCACCCCTGGGTGCAGCCCCCCGCCCCACGGGTCACCCCCGGTGCAGCCCCCCGCCCCACGGGTCACCCCCGGGTGCAGCCCCGGCTGGGTGCGGGATCAGGCAAAACCGGGCAGAACGCGCCGCCACCCCGGTGGCACCGCCCGGCCCGAGGTGCGAGGGCTGCGAGCAGCCACCGGAGCCGCCACCCCGCCCGGTAAAGCCCCCGTGCAGGCAGATCCCCGCCGCTGCACCGGGACTGAGCAGAAGGAAATGTGGCACGGGCACCGGCGCGGCACGGGCACCGGCGTGCGGGGGTTCGCGGAGAGCAGGAACCGCAGGCGTGGCACTGCCCGCAGCCACCGAGGTTCCCGTTCCCGGTTCCCGCGGTCCCGGGGCAGGCAGGCACCGCTCGGTCCCAGCCGGCGCTGCCCGGTGCGCGGCTCTGCCCGGTGAGCGGTCCCTGCCCGGTGTGCGGTCCCTGCCCGGTGCGCGGTCCCTGCCCGGTGAGCGGTCCCTGCCCGGTGCGCGGTCCCTGCCCGGTGTGCGATCCCTGCCCGGTGTGCGATCCCTGCCCGGTGTGCGATCCCTGCCCGGTGAGCGGTCCCTGCCCGGTGCGCGGTCCCTGCCCGGTGCGCGGCTCTGCCCGGTGTGCGGTCCTTGCCCGGTGAGCGGCTCTGCCCGGTGCGCGGCTCTGCCCGGTGAGCGGTCCCTGCCCGGTGCGCGGTCCCTGCCCGGTGTGCGGTCCTTGCCCGGTGCGCGGCTTTGCCCCGCGGCCCCGGCGGGAGCTCAGGCCGGGCTCAGACCGTTCGCCGGTCAGGGAGCTCCACCTTCCGGTCCCACCGGGAGCCGCCGCGACCGGCGGAGCTGCTTCGGGTGCGAGGCACCGGGACGGGATGCCCGGCATCAGGATGCCTTTCCCCGATACACCCCCGCTGGTACGGGATACCCCGCTCCGGCAGCGGGATGCCAAGCACCGGTATGGCGAGCACCATCACGGGATGCTCCGGTACAGAACGACCGGCACCGGTACAGGATGCCCGGCTCCGGTACACCCGACAACAGTACAGGATGTCCCGCATGGGAATGCCCGGCACTGCTATGGGATACGCCAGCACAAGATGCCCTGCTGTGGTACACCCGGTCCCGCACCAGCACCGGGAAGACCGGTACCGGTGCGAATAGGGGCTGCGGGCGGGCTCGGGCTGCAGGCACGCCCGGCTGGGAGGCGCACAGCGGAGCTGGCGGCGGAGGGCGGAGGCGGGAGCGCTGCCGGGGGTCCCGGGGGTCCCGGCGGCCCCGCCCGCTCCGGTCCCGCCGCCACATCCGGGCCCCGCCCAGCGCGGCCGCTGATTGGCTGCCGCGGGACACGTGACCGCGCCGCCAGGCGGGGCCCGCGGTGGCGCGCGCAGGTGAGCGGCGGGACCGGAACCGGAACCGGAACCGGAACCGGGGCCGGAACCGGGGTCGGAACCGGGCCCGCGGCCCGGAGGGGGTGCGGGGGACCTGCCCCTGACCCGCCCGCCCCCGACCCGCTGAGATCCGCACCGGGCACCTGAGCACCGGCACCGGGCCGGACCGTCCCGTACAGGTGCTCCGCCGACCCGGTCCGGCCCGTGCCGTTCGGGACCGACCCTCGCAAGGTGTCCGCCCTGTCCCGCAACCCCCGTGCGCTGCCTCGCTGCGGTCCCCACGCACAGCCCTGTCCGCTCTCCGCGCTCCGCTCGATCCTGCGGGGCTCCCCCGGTGCCCCATCCCCTTTCCCGGTTCCCTGCCCGTTCTCCCGGTCCCCCCCCCCCCCCCCCCCCCCCCCCCCCCCCCCCCCCCCCCCCCCCCCCCCCCCCCCCCCCCCCCCCCCCCCCCCCCCCCCGCCCCGCCACACTCCGGTTCTGTTCCTGATCTCCGCACCCATCCGTGCCGCTGTGCCCGCATCCCCCGCCCGTCCCCGGTATCGGCGGGACGGGACGTGGCACTGGGCTGCACCGGGCGCCTTCCCGGGACGTAGGCGGGGGTGGGTCAGCACCGGTCCCGCTCCACCCCCGCCCGCCCTCGCAGCTCCGGTGTCCCCGCCATGGCCGGTCCCGCGGCCCCGGGTCCCCTGCCCGGGCCGAGCGGCCCCGGCTCCGCGCTGGAAGAGGAGGAGGAGGAGGAGGAGGAGGAGGATGATGAAGATCCGTCCCTGGGCTGCGACGGCGACCTGGAGGTGAACCCCTACGACGGGCTGCCCTTCTCCTCCCGGTACTACGAGCTGCTGCGGCAGCGCCGGGAGCTGCCGGTGTGGACCACCAAGTACAGCTTCATGGAGCACCTGGAGGGCAACAGCGGCATCGTGCTGGTGTCCGGAGCCCCCGGTACCGGCAAGAGCACGCAGGTGAGGGCCAGCCTCCCACGGCCCCGGGATCGCTGCACGGAGCCCGGCGGGCTGGGCGGGCACCGGGAGCTCCGGGCAGAGCGGCGGGGAGCGGCCGGCACGGGAGGTGGCAGCGGGAGCGGGGAACGGGCGCTCCCGGAGCCGGGCAGGGCGGCGGTGCCAGATCCCTCCCGCCGGCCCGGGGAGCCGGTCCCAGCTGCTGGTGACACTCGGGGACGGCGCCTGGCAGACTTTGACCGGGGAAGGGATTGCGGGAGCGGTGGCGCAGCAGGGGCCCCGAATGGGCTGGGTGGCCTCAGGCTATTGGGGTGTTGGCCCCGGGCTCCAGGTGCTCAACCAAATCGGTTCCCTGGGTGTGACCCGCTGGGCTGGGCTGCCACTGCTGGATTTGGGGACTTAAGCTCCTGTGCGGGCCCCAGGGCCAGTGGTTTTGGGTGCAGCACCCTGCCCTGCACGGTCCTGGGGACACTGAGGCACAGCTCATGGGGGCAAAGAGGTGACAGGAGGAAGCAGGACTCGGGTCCCTGGTGTCAAAGGGACGTCTGCGTGGCCTTGGCACTGTCCCATACTGTCAGGCCGGGCACTTGGCCAGCAGCTGCTCCCTTCCCTCTCTGTGGTGTTTCCCAGGCCATTGTCCCATGGTCCTTGGTGGTGTGGTGTCCCACACCCGGGCAGGAAGCTGCAGGTGTGGGGCCACGGGGCTCCTGTTACAGGCTGTGGGGCTCAGAGCTGGCACGAGTGGGAAGATCCAGCCCCTGAGCCTGGAGTTCCTGCAGCCAGATCCATGGGGAGGATCTTTGTGCCCTTTGGAGGGGCACAGCAAGGAGGGGACAGTGCTGAAACCACGCTGCCCCATGCCGTGTGCCCACAGATCCCTCAGTGGTGCGCCGAGTACGCCCTGTCCATGTCATTCGCCCACGGGCTGGTGGCCTGCACCCAGCCCCACAGCCTGGCCGCCCTCAGCCTCTCGCTGCGCGTGGCCGACGAGATGGACCTGAACCTGGGCCACGAGGTGGGCTACTGCGTGCCACACGAGGACTGCTGCACCGCCGACACCATCCTCAGGTGCGGCAGGGACGGCGGGGCCTGCGCTGGGAGCACGGCGCCCTAATCCCGCTGAGCTCCACGTAAATCCCTTAATCCGGCCTGGCAGAGCGGCACGGGCTGCAGCGGGGAGGGGCTGTCCTGGGGAGGGTGCTGCCGTGGGGAAGGGGCTGCCATAGGGAGGGGTCTGCCATAGGGAGGGGTCTGCCATAGGGAGGGTGCTGCCCTGGGGAAGGGGCTGCCGTGGGGAGGGGGTTGCTGTGGGGAAAGGGCTGCCGTGGGGAGGGTGCTGCCATGGGGAGGGGGGAGAGGGCTGCACTGGGGAGCAGGGAGGGGGCTGCACTGGGGAAGGGTCTGCCGTGGGGAGGGGGCTGGTGCAGGGAGCCATGGGGAGGTGCTGCCGTGGGGAGAGGGTTGCTGTGGAAAGGTGCTGCCGTGGGGAAAGGGCTGCCGTGGGGAGGGGGCTGCCCTGGGGAGGAGCTGCCATGTGGAGGGGGATGCCATGGGGAGGGTGGTGCCGTGGGGAGGGGGATGCCATGGGGAGGTGCTGCCCTGCGGAAAGAGCTGCCCTGGGGAGGTGCTGCCGTGGGGGGGGTGTGAGGCATTTCCACGCTGACGGGGTGCTGACAGGTTCTGCTCGGACGAGATGCTGCTGCGGGAGATGACGTCGGACCCGCTGCTGCGGCAGTACGGGGTGGTGGTGCTGGACGAGGCGCAGGAGCGCACGGTGCCCACGGACGCTCTGCTGGGGCTGCTCAAGGACGTGCTGCGCCAGCGCCCGGCCCTGCGCCTCGTGGTGCT